ATGGTTCTGTACATAATTAAAAGGTAATCACAAGATTTACAAATTTTCATCACATTTTATTCACACAAACTTAAAAATCACATTTTATTAAACAAAAAAGTATATATATATATATATATATATATATATATATATATATATATATATATATATATATATATATACATACATACATACAATTAACTTAACAATTTCAATTAACAACATATTATATATACATATACATATTCATATTTAGTCTGGAAACTTGATTTAATAACTAGGTTCATTGTATATATGTTTATTTTTTCTAGTTTACAAATATTTTTACTTTTCTGAAAAATAATCATTTTAATTTATCCAAGGTTTTTAAATACAATCAAAAGATTTATTATTCCCAGCATATATTACTCCGCAAAAAAAAAAAAAAAAAAAGAAAAAAAAAGAATAACAAAAGTTTGCTAAAAAACTATTTAATAAATCTAAGTAATACATTGCAAAATCAGTAATACATAAATCTGCAAAAAAGGATTATAATGGAAAATCTCTAATTATGTGAACCTCACTGCTGCTCCTTAGAATGTTGCTGTTAACTTCTCTTCTAAGTTCTCTCAGAATTTAATGAAAAAGTTATAATTTATTTCGAATATATTCAGAGAAGATAACACGAAATTCCTGAATCGTTTAATTAATTACTTTTTGTTTCATTAAACAATTACAGAGGTCATTTATATACTGAACATTTCCCTCCCTTACAGTATGCAGGTCCGATTTTTAGTTTCTGAGATATTGTAATCCATATCTTCCATAAAACTCGTTATCATTTAGTTTTTGACATTATTTTTTCCTTTTCGCCTCCCTAACACGGCGTCGCTTCAAGATAAAATTTTGTATAATATCGCGTTACGGAGAGGTTGAATTGCTGCACAATTCCCTGGCTTACAGTATGCAGGTCCGATTTTTAGTTTTTGAGATATGTTAATCCATATGAAAAAACACTTTAATTAATCAAAGCCAGCCGACTTTACCCGAGCGTTGCACATCGGAAACCTGACGGCTCAATCTAATTAACTTTCAACAAAAAAGGGCAAAACGCACCTACATAAGTTTTCACTTCAAAAAGGCATTTTTAATTGTTATCTAATGTTTTAGGCAAGTTGTATACCAAGAATATTTCCCATTTATGTTTACTTCTTCCTTTTGTAACGCAAAATTCGAAACCTTTTTAGTAACAGAATTATTTACATCCCTCATAGATTTCTAACTTGAATTATAAATTGAATATGGACAAGATAGTAAAATAAAAGAGTAAATATATATACTCACATGTATATTTATTATTATGTATATTTATAAATAATTTAATCCAGCGCAAAAATGTACAATTTGATGCAACACAATTCAAAATTTTGAAATTTAGACCAAAGTATCAATCGTGCAATATCAAATTTGAATATGTTATTCTGTAGATTGAAAAACTGATAAATAATCGGCTTTTTAGACGCAAGAGAATAAAATGTGAAATAATATACAAATTCGGTCTCTGATTATAACGAATCTTACATATTTACTACACATCACCAAATAACGAGAAAAAAAATATGGAAAACGTATCCATGAAAGCAGGCAGCATTGTTTCTATAATTATATTTTCTTTTTTAATAGTGGTTAAATAGTTGACTGTCGTGAATAATGAGGAGAAGAATAGTTGGGGTGATCAGTCAAATAAGAAGGCAAAAATAAATGATTATATTTATTTTGTCATTTGCCGAAGTTCAGGCCATCATCAGGCCTGAGAAAAGAACCAGATAACAAGGGAATCTTAGAATGTTTCTGTTTTACATTTTATTCTAAGATTCCCTTTACAATACTTATGTCACCTTTTTGACTATGTTTACTTCATCATTCCACACTTCGTACCTGTTATTATTATTTGTCTCTTGTTCTTACTATTGTCATTATTCTAACAACTGCATTTTACTTTAATTTTTATGTTTCTCATACCTTGTTATCTGGTTCTTTTCTTAGCCCTGATGATGGCCTGAACTTCAGGTCGAAACGTCGGCAAATGACAAAATAAATATTATCATTTATTTTTGCCTTCTTATTTGACTGATCACCCCAACTATTCTTCTCCTCATTATGTTTTCTTTTTCTTTGTACAGACTTTAAAAGAGCACTTCAACATCTTTTCATATAGTTTATTTCTTTTTCTTCCACAGTAATTACCGTTGTAAAAATAAACATTAAAGCCCCAGAATAAAATCCTGAATCCGCTTCTCTAATGGTCCAATCAGCTTCTCCCAACCAGACTGGTTTCGGAGATGGGAGCAAAAGATTATTCTCAATTTCTACTGGAAATTTCTACTCTTGACGGGCTCGACTGTTATCAACGAACGGACATGAGATTGACATTCATTTCTCCACTTGTACCCTCTCTTCATGTGCTATAACACAATGTGCACCACACCTGTTGTACGATCAGAAAATGGTCGATACAACCATATCATCATATATTCTGAGGTCTTTGTTAAAAAGTTGGTTTTCAGTCAGAAAAAAGTATCAATTGTTCTATTTTCGATATTTATTTTTAATAAATATATATTACTAGTAGACCCATGCGAAAAATTCGCACAGCATATAGTTATCAAATGAAAAATTGATAAGAAAATAAAAAAATGCAATACATCAAAGGAATAAGCGATCAAATGTTACTTTATCGTTAAATATAATCCACAAAGCAAACAAAAATTAATTTAAATCTTCATTTTTGTTTGGAACCAACATGTTTTCAAATTTCAGTAAGCTGTATCTTTGCTAAAAATTGTCCGATTTCGATGATTTTTTTTTTCATTTTGTAGAGAATTTAGTAATCTTTTATATAATGGGCATAACCAAGGGAAAAGTGTGTAATTTTTAGTTATTCGCAAATAAAGTTTATTTTCTCTCATAACTTGTTTGCCTGAATTTTCTCGGTGTTTGGAGTATTTTGCCAGCCTGAAGGAAAAGGAAGCCTTCGAACTTGGTGGCTCCATCTTGAGATTTGGTGAAAAATTAACGATGATATGGCTTGCCGATCAAAAACACCATCGATAAATAATATAAACTCCTCCTCTCTCGATCATAGAGATCTCAAGTCGACGAAATGAGACATGTATTCAATGACAGTACTACAATTAATGTAAGGTTGTGTGGATGCGAACTCTATGCCTTGCGTTATCTCGAAAACAGTACGTTTTTGGGGTTAAAAACGCAGGATTCGATAGTTCCGGGGGAACTTTCCGGGTCTTGCTGTACGCATCAAAATTTTCAAGATCCGATTTGTCCCGTATCGATCTACAGACCTACCACCGTTTCAGTATTGAAGCCTAGCAAAATGTTTGTATCGACTTTATTTATTTTAGAAAGAAAAACATAAGTGGAGAGTACTATTCGCTAACCCCCCGTGAAATTCTGAATCCAACGGTACCTCATTCATGGTATTTGAGCATGACAGGAGCATATATTTGGTACAAAACCGATTTCGAGCCTTACTGTAATAATATATGTACGGATATTTACGTTCCCTGCCCTTTGAATAAAGAACTTCGAAACTTTAAACTAATAGTTTATGTATTATTTTTTGACAATAATCTTAATATTTCAGAAATTTATTATAAAAAAAAAGTTGCAAATTATTTCACATGCTTTATTATTTCCAAACAATTATACATCTAAAATAACAATTATTCACAAACAAACAAGTTAAATTACAAAGAAAAATAAATAAAAGGTGATTCCAATTATTGGACTAAACTTATTTTTTTAATCATTAGTAATAAGCTAAAAAAAACTAGCACTACCTCAGTAACACATTAAAAATTCAAAAACCAAAACGAAGGATATAACCTTCGCAGTAGAACTTGCATGTAGGAATTGCAGCAGAAAATTATTTTCTATTTTATTCTAGAACAGACAAAAAAAAAAAAAATAGAGACCTTATCTTTGCTCCTAATTGTCCGATTTTAACGATTTTTTTTTTTTTAGGAAATTCCGTAAACATTTAAATAACAATATCTACAAAAAAGTGAATACTTTTTGAGTTATTCGAAATATAATTTTACAATCCCTCGTAACTTTTTTCCCAGCTTCTTTTAATTAAAGTATGTTATGTGGATAAATTTAAAGGGCTCCGAGAAAATGACTTTAGCGAAGTTTCATTGAAATCGGTTCATTCGTTTAGGCGCTTCAGTCTATAGCAACATAGGTTTTTCGGCCGCCATTATGAAAGTAAAGGGCGGAGAGTAATATCGATGAAGGAGGATCATCCTCGAGTGAGCTCTGATTACATATCCAAATTTGAAAAAAATCAGTCCAGTAGTTTCGGAGAAAATGCGCGGACGGCAGACGGACAAAAAAATTTTTATTCGTTATTCGAATTCTACGTATCCTGAAACGTGAAACCTAAAGTTTTGAGAGGGGGTTAAGTTTTTGAATATTTTAATCGATCGCAATGGTTCATTATTAAAAATAATAAACCAATATAGGGGTTCTGAATAAGTTACATTTCGAGTTTTATTCTAAAAATTAGTATATTTGCAGTGACACAGCGTTTTTCGGTTGTTGAGTTTGTTGTTCTAGAAGGAGTCTCCTAAATCGTTCCCACGGGACGTCGCATGCGATCACATTCAAAATTGTGCCCGCCTATCCCAACCTGTAACAGTGATCACCATCGCAGCCGGTAACTCCATTCCACAAACTTTCTGTTCGAAGATTTTTGGTTAATTATTTTCCATAATGAACCCCTGTAACTCGAAAAAAAATATTGGCATCCGCTGTCTTTTTTTTCTCCTCTTCTTCAAATTTTAGGCTATACGAGCTTTTCCGGGCCAGGGGTGAGAGCGGAGATTAATGCCACTGTTGGAGATTAATGCAACCCTCCCTCCCGGTTTGTAATTATTTTAGCATCTATAACTTAGGATATCAGATTGCCCTTAAACAAACTTAAAAAATAATTTATTTATTTATTTTATGGGGTTAGAGATTCAAAAGCCTACTAACTTTCGAGCACTAATATCTTTAATTCTTCCCATCAATTCTACACTTCTTCTTGAGCAAAGGTCGTGTGGTAGCCGAAGAGTCAGAAGGTAAAGTGAAGTAGCTCATTAAGCTTCCTCGTAGGTGCACCGGGGACTGGTGCACCTCCTAGCAGTGGATACCTTGTTAACTTGAGGGTACTTCCTCGCGACCTCTCTTAAACCATCACTGCTCAACAACTTCTGAACTCGCTTCATCTTCTAAAATAATATCACCTATAACAACCATTCTCAACCGACTCATCATCATTGTTTGTTCACTTTTCATACATTTTGTTTTTTTAATCCACTTCAAGTCATGGACGTTCTATTCCTAGCCAGTGCCTGACTTACGGTTAAAACTTTTAAATTGACATAGCGCTTTTAAATAAATCAGTCGCTTTCGAGAAAAGTAATACTGGTTTAGGATTTTCTTATGTATTGAGAAAGGCACATACGTCAATTGTGGGAAATAAAACCGCACATTCCTTCAACTTACTTTCTGATACCTCAATCTTCAATTTTAGAATAGAATAGAAAATTATACTTCTTCATTAATCCTAAGGGAGATACTTATTTTCGAGGTATATATTAAGAATTTTTCTTACAGTATTTACTGAAGCTCCAGTATCTGACTACGCTCTCTCTAGAGGAGACTACTATATAATTTTCAAGAAATATGACAATAAAATAATAATAAATAATATGACAAAATCTTATAGAGAATAAGATGATGTAGGATGAGAATACTGTCTGAAGATGGGATGTAAAAGTGGATCTCGTAACGTCATGATGTAGCGGAGTGGAAATGATTTTGGGAGAATAAAGACTGTAACAAAAATTCTTACTTATATACCAAGAAAATTTAACTGTATTCTAGGACTTAGAATTGAAGTTCCCTTAGAATAACAATAATGAACAAATACATAAGAAAATCCATATTTGGATAGAATCTAACTTATATAGATTCTAACATTATATAAATTAATTTAAAAAATATTATGTAAACCACAATAAAAAAAAAAAATCTTCTCAAAAACACTTATTATTGTATTAGAAGAAAAAAAAGAATAATAATAATAATAAAAGGCTTAGCGAACCCGAAGGTTCGATGCCGACACCACCAATCGCTTATTACACACCTCTCTCCATCGTTCGCCGTCCAAACCCAGTCCCTTCAGATCGGCTTTAATGCAATCTTCCCACCTTCGCTTCGGTCTACTCCTCGGACGCTTACCAAGAAAAAATAAAAAGAAATAACATATTTATGAATACATAACTACACAATTTAAAAACAATTAGCTAACTAATAAAAAACTAACTTAACATAAAATGTAACAATATCTGCAGCGATTTACATAATAATATGCAAACACTAAAAGAAATCAAAATAAAATGTTCTCAGGAATACTTGTAGTATGACCTGGATAAATAAAAAATAATATAATATAATAAGATAGCAAAAGTAATAACAGAAATTCGTTGATTTAGATATTTTTTTTTATATATTATTTTAATGGAATTTACAACTGTATTACATATAAAATACAATAAGTAAATGTGAAATTGATAGCATGACATGTAGAAAATGAAGAGAAACTACCCATTGGTAGAACTCAAAGATTTTGATATTAAAATATAAACAGTAGGCTAAATTAATAAACTAACACTATAAAAATCCAACTATGTATAGTATTTTAAATAATAATATGTTAACAGTTAAATGAATAATCTTCTCAAGCGTGATTATAGTTGAAATGGAAAAATAGAAGAAAATAAAAATAAAAAATGAAATATTTTTCTGATAGGTGTTTGTATATTTCTGTTAATTCTTTCATTATTTTTTTTATTTCACTCGTTCCTCGCCGTTTAAGCTATGTACAAAGCTTTGGTAACCTAGTTACATAAAAATATCCATAAAAACATTCTCTATAAAGTATATTTATACTTATATACTTACACTTTTACTTATTAAATATATTTTTCTAATTTTTGCAGCGAGAAATTAAAAGCATGATTTAATCGTAGAAGGAAGCATTCAGAGTTAGCTTGTCAAATACAGTAAAAACCATGAGGCAAAGATTTTTTTTCCAAATTAGCGATAATTGAGGACGGATATTTCGGAAACTAAGTGATTTAGCGAAAAAAGATATATAATCAATCATATTGAAAATTTTACCAGCTTTAATTTTGTATAGAACGTCTTTGTTGAATGGATAATTGTCCTGATATAAGCAAAATCCCGAAAAAAGGTATATTCTAGGCTCCTTCCCCCTTAAAGAAAGAGTGGGAACTTTTAATATGTTTACCTCCTTACTAGTCCAAAAAATGACCATTAGCCTAAAATTGTGTAGCCGCCATTTCTTTCTATACACCCTTTTTTTAGCATTCATTGACTGGATAATAAGTCATTCGCCTATGCAGTCCAATATTTCCAGTATATTCGAGCTATTTCCATAGGCCAATCAGTGTTTATTTCAATAAGATATTTCAAATTCATTTAAGTACATCATTAGTTCTTTAGAAGTATATTTCTAGCAATTATTGATCCTGCGATACCGTTTTTCATCTTTCACTTTAGTACATTTAAATTATAATTTTATATTTTGAAAAGAGTTTTGATGATATTTATGAATGAAGGATGATGAGGTGAAGAACTTGTAATATGACGGGAAGGGTTTGGTCTGCAAGGTTTCTCGCTACTTAGCCCTAAGTGGATTTGGCTAAATTTATCTAGGTCGGCCGTCTCTGGGGGGAAATAATCGGGAAATAAAGTCTATATCCGATCCTATCGTTTCAGCTTGTCCTCATTTCTTTCTTTTCTCATCCATTTGTTTTATTTCAGAAAAAAATCACTCAATTAATATTTTTTTGTGTGTATGTGTTTGTTAATTTTTATAATTTGCAGAGATGGGTTCCATGCACAAACAAAATTATTAATTAGTACATTCTTACTTGTGGTAAGATTTTAATATAAAATGAAATATAAGCATTTTTTTCTCTTGACTTTTTATAGTTGAACTCTTCCTGAAATTCCTTGATTATATGTTTTAACCCACATTTACTGAATTAAATTTGATGAAAATTCTTGGAGTCGCTTTCTACTTAAAACTAACTCCCGTATACGTAAAAATTTTAACGAACATTTTCAAAATTATATGATTTAAAATTTCCAGAATAAATGGTATTATTAACATTTTTAATACATACGTTTCAGTAGAAAGTAAGTTAAAAAAAAAAATGCAACTTAGTTTTTGCGAATATATTTGATTAGTTTTAACTAATATACTCGAGTAAGACTTATTTTATTTTAAATGATAAAATTCCACATTTTGATCTATGGGTCTTACGTTAATTTTCATTTACTAGCATTTCAAACCTTTAGGCCATTTTCAAGAGTATTAAAAACATATTTTAAAGTTAGAAACATTGGGGATTAATTGCCTATGTCACATTTTTTATAGAATGTTTAATTATAATACATTATGCAATATGTAAAAATTAAAATTAAAAAAACAATTTCGTATTACTTTGTGTAATATTTAATAGTTTCATGTTCTCTTATCATTATGATATCTCGATAGTAATGAAAAGTTAGAAACGTAGAATTTAATAGTAAAGGGATTTTAAATAGTGATAGTGTCACGCTCTGGTTTCCAAACCGCAATCTAAAAAAATGGCCAGAGAAAGTTCTGAATATCGCAATACAATAATTTAAAAATAATAATAATAATAAATGTACTTCTATGTATTTCCTACTATACCTATTTTATTCTTCGTTGCTTTTACACTTCGATGGTTGAATCTTATTTGGTTTATTCCTGATAAAGATCTTAGACATACAGTTGGAAGGCACAAGTTCTAATTTATTATTTTTCCTTTCTCTTGATCGTACTTCGAAGAAATCCTTCATCTTATACAAAGTCAATGATATCCTTTTGCTATTACATGTTTGTCGTGCCATAAAGTGCCATTTCTTTCTGTCAAGCAAATCACCTTCTCGAAGTCTCCTTGATGACCATGCCTTCTTCAACATCCTAGTTGGTACAGAAAGATTAATTTTGGCCGTCGGTCTTCTAGCATTCTTTGTAAATGGCCATACAATTTTAATCTTTTTTTTTCTATGTTTTATAGGATTTTTTTTGTTGTAAATTCTATCTAATCGTTTTGTTGGGAACGTGTGGGAGTTTGAAAATACTACAGTAACGTCTCCAAAAATTCATTTCCTATGATGATAACTTCTTCTCATTCTTTGGGGTAATCACCTAGGGGGCGGGAGGGCCGAATGGGCTTGAGATTGAAAATAAAAGTACGAGATTTTTGAATTCCACACCCTCACCCTCCGACCCGGAAAAATCCCGTATAGCCTAAAAGGCGAGAACAGGAAAAAAAAAAAACCTACGTTCCGCATCCATATAGACTGACGCTTTCGGAAAGGAATTTTTTTTTGTTTGGAGACTGATCTGTTTGTTTCATACAGAATTTACACCATTATAAAGCGTTAGGGGTGTAGAATTTAATGGTAAAGAGATTTTATATAGCGATAGTCCAACGCAATGTTATCCAAACTACTATCGACACTTAGAAACATCCCGGTGAAGTATTATTATTATTTTTTGAGGGGAAAGGGACGATGGGGCAAAGTAAAAGCCGAACAGATGTAAGATCAGCGGGAGACTGCCCGAGGGCTTTGTTTCTCCTCCGCTCACAGCTGGGCACCCATTAACAGTTTACTCTCCTCTGATTGGCTAAAGGACCTCGATTGTCTTCCCTTCATTCCAGTCACGTTGACGATTGCTAATAGAGCTTCCACAATGGGGCTCATTCGCTATGGCAGCCACTGCAGTCCTCTCGGTTCTTCTGGAGGAATGTCCGACGAGGCAACGAGCTTTAATTTGCAGCCTGGGCAAGTGAATGAAATCAGTGAAATTGGAATCGTTCTACGACCACCTTTCGTTTGATGTTTATTTAATTAATGCAATGGGCTGACCTGGTGGATCGTTCCATATGAAATCAGCAGAGGCATGTTTTCGATTAAATTCCAATTACCACTGAATTCGGACCAATTGAATGCATAACAAATTTATTTTTCTTCTTGGGTAGTTTTAATAGTGATTTTTAAAAATTGTAAAAACAGTCGAATTTGATCAATAAAATAGATCGTAGATTCCCAACAAAAGGTTTTCTTATGGGCTTTGATATATATTTGATATATTTTTTAAAAATCATAATCTTCCACAAACTGAACCTCTCTTTTCTTCCTGTATGAGGTTCGATGCCATGGAGTGATGTGATCTTCGGTTATTTTTTTCCTTCCTGCTGATACCCGAATTGGGAAAATGTTGACGAGGCTGTCTGGTTGGAATTCTGATTATAACCTAGCAAAAAATATGTTAATCAGATATCTATTGGTTAGATACATGTCAAATTTCAAGATTGAGAAATGATCTGATCATGAGCGAATAATATCTATATATGAAGTTGGAAATGCTATATCACATCAAGTTTTTTTTTTTAACTTGATTTCTTCATCCACACCTGTCATAAGCAATGATAATTAGCGTGTGTGCTGTGGATCAATATATATAATGATTATCTACATAAATATCATATAATTATAAATATAAATCGGAAACCTGGTGGTTCCAAATGTATTATTCATTGGGTGATCCCATTTGAGTTGCTCACAATTTACAAGTAATAAATCACAGATTGATGGATTTTAGAATTAAACGGAAGAAAAAAAACAGTTAGAATCTGTTTAAAATAGGAAATTTAAACTTTGTCAGTAACGTCGTTTTGTTCTGATTTGAAATTTAAATTTGATTTGTCTTAATTATGGATGTTATTATTTGATATATTTTATTTCGTTGAAACACTTACAATCATGATTGTGATATGAACTCCTAATATTCATCCTATTGAAATGAAACAACAAAAAATATGACGTTTTTCGTTGACATCAATATAACAGCCGCCAGTGTACGAGTACTTCCGCATTTCTTCGTTTTCTCGCTAATTTAATTTCGACTTAAATTTTTACCTCAGTACATAATTTATTTGTATTTAGTATTTTTTTTTTAAACAATTTTGAGAGGAAGGAAATCATATTAGGGCAGGAAAAAAAATTATACTGGCAAAACCCAAATTTTGGGTTCAGTACTTTGTTAGAAAGTACTGACATCATTATTTGACATCACCAGGATTCGAACCCGGCACCTTGAGATTAGCAACCCAGAGACTAACACACTGAGAAACTCCGCTCCCAGTATAGCGAAAATTCATGATATTTTATCATTATGTAATAAAAAAAATAAACAAGTCACTTGTTGTCACATTATCTACGTTCAAAAAATTTGCAAGCCATCTTCAAGGCCTGATTTAATAAAATAACTACTTGATTAATTTAAGTTACAAGTAATAAAACTAATAGATTAGCCAATCGATGGCAGTTCATTTATTAGTCAGTTTAAAGCCTGAATTAGTGACTTATCTGAAAAAATGTTACGAAGGAAAGTGATTGGTCATCAAGAGCTGCTGCGGGGAGATAGTGCTGCTACTGACGCCATAATTCTAGTTTGAAAAATCGGTGGGCAGCTGCACTTAATAGGAGTGATAAGGGGAATGTGGCAGGCCAAGTCTCAGCTCAGAACTTCACGCCACAGCGTTATCACATTTAAGAATGATACGATCATGAATGGGTGTGTTTATATAATGGATCATTTCATGTATAATTTAAGATACAGTCCATATAGATATTTGTTTGGTTCCAAAAAAAAAAACATTTACCAATTCTGATGTGTAAGGCACAGAAAAATAATTTTGATTCCATCATAATCACCATTAAATTTACATCAAAGTGAATACTTCCAAATGTTTCTTTCCTTTAATGTAGTGAGAAAAAATGTGAGATAAGTATTTCGAGGAAAAAATACTTTGTTTCTCTATTTCCGAGGTATCTAGAACCTCTATTAATGAAATGTTTTAAAACCACAATTAATAAAAAAAAAATTTAATTATTTATTCTCCGCTGGCTTTGGTACCAATGATGTGGTTGAGAGAGTAGCGCAGGGTTCTCCTGGAGTTCCCTCGCCTGATTGTATATAGTTATGTATATATTTTTTGCTTAGTTTTAATTTTCTTATTTTTAGGTTATTTTATTTTATTTATTGTATATACATTTCGATTATTATTTATTGTTATTTTGCTTCTGTTTATTTATATTTTTTGTACATAGAGTGTGAATGTTATCCTACCTCACTATAACTACTGTCCATGTGACAGATTGTTGTAATTCTCAAAAAATAAATTTAAAAAATTTTTAATTTGTAATTTTCTTAAAACGATTTAAGAAATTTACAACTTTATAAATACTACTAGTAAACGTGAAGTAGTTAAGAATAATGACATGAACAGAAATGTAGAAAAACTCTAAAGCAATAGTCGAAAGTACTCCCTGAATAGTTCTAAGTAAAAAAGAAGTTCTAAGTAAGAAAGAAATTTTAAGTATTTCGGAGGTCATCTTCTTTTCAGACGCCGATAAGGATTATCAAGAATCCAGGAGGAAGCAACGATGGAACGAAATTGATGGATCTCGTAAATTTTTAGTTATCAATATTTAGTTTATCAACACAATAAACGTTGCAAAAATGAACATAGGAATAAGTTTAGTTTTTTTTTTTTTTTTTGTAGTCGCCTCAGCTATAAGTGTAATTGATAAATTTGAAAATATAAAAAGTTATACATGTATTTTATAATATAAATATGTTTGAGTGTCATCTTTTAAAAATTCTTTCTATAGTTTTTTTATCAAGTGAAGTTAAAATCAAAACTTTTTAATTAAATCATAATTAAACATGAAAATACCAAAAGTAAAATCCTACATACACAACAAGTACACATTTCATTCTTATACTCTCAATCATCAAAATCCACTCGTTCTATCTCTTTTTTCCTCCCTGTTACCTGGTGGGCCTCAACGTCGACGAAAATGGCAGTGGCCTAGATATCTGATGACAACGTAAACAAGTATCAAGAATAAAAGAAGACAGAATAAACGGTAACACATTTGCTTGATGTATTACAACGCAGTAGCCATATAATGTAAAAAAAAAAAAACAATAAAAGAATATTTACTAATTTGAATATTATATAATAAAATACTTGCTAATAAATAAATTCTAAGGTGTAAATAAAAAATTTAAGTGTATAAGTATTGTTTGACACAAGTGGAAAAAAGTTTTCTAATTAAATTAGCCTAGTATATGTTGACAATTTTCATAATAATGCCATGTCTTATAATTATTATTATAATAATCTAAATATTATGATCCTTTCATTGTGATTTTTCGTTAGAAATCAAATATTTTTCTATGGTTGGATAGAAAGGGTCGTTATGTACAAACGTAAAAGTATATTCTATTAAATTAATAAAATATTTAAGTTATTAAACATGTTGTAGGTAACATGTAGTTTACTTTGACAGAAGAAACCTCTTAAATGATGTGTAGAATGTAGGTTGTGCTCGTGAAATAGTGCACATTATGTCGAGATCAATGAACGATTCGGATCCAGCCGTCCCTTCTGCAGCTGATCGATCCTCGGCAGTTAGGGTACCTGACCTTTCACCGAGCTGGGGGTAGGAGACTGGGGCTGTACTCTCATCTACGTTTGTTTTAACGGTGCCTATCAACTTAATCATTGTGCTTAGTTCAATATTGTATATTAAAAAAAAAAAAACTAAGATGTGTGGTTTAAACCATCCGATAGAACTGAAAACATCAACAAGGAGAGATTCGTAATATGAAATATAAATAGCTCACTATAAAGAGGATGGAATGCCGAACATTTTCCTCGTTTACAGTACGCAGGTCCGATTTTTAGTTTCTGAGAACTTTAAATCTATATCTTGCATAAAACTCGTTATCATTTGGTTTTAGACACGATTTTTTCCTTTTCACCTCTCTAACAGGGCGTCGCATTAAGATACAATTTTGAATAATAGTTCATTACAAAGAGGATGCAATGATGAACATTTCTCTTGCTAACAATATGCAGTTACGATTTTTAGTTTTTGAGATACTTTAATCCATATGCAAAAGCACATCAATTAGTCGACTCCAGCAGACTTTACCCGAGCGTTACACTTCGGAGATCTGACGGGTTTATCTAATTCACACTCCACAAAAAAAGTGCAAAGCGCGCCAAAAGGAGTTTTCACTTAAAAGAAAATTATATAAAAAACACGAATGTGTCAAAACCACTCGGAAATGGAAATGTTTGTTTGTACCGATAATTATAATTTTCAAAACTACACCATGCTAGTCCGTAGTACAGACCCCTTTTTATCGAATTATTAACATCCGCCTGAAACTTTGATAATAGTTTCATCTCATTGCAACTACAACTATTTTATTCACAGAAACTCTTGGAATTGGGCCGTTTTCAATCGGGAGGGAGGCAAATTTTGTGTATTTAATTAGCTACTAAAAACGCGTAAATACTCATTTGCTTTCTTCTTGGACCGTAAGGTAGTTTGATCACAAAATCGAGAAAAAAGTGGCCTTCAAAAATATTGAGCCCTTTGGCATGACCTAACCGCCAAATTTTCAAAATAACGATGTTATATAGGACAAACGGCCCAATATTTGTTTAGGCCACTTTTATCTCTATTTTGTGATCAAATTATTTTACGATCATAGTAGAAAGCAAAAGTGTATTTATGAGTTTTTAGTACCTAATTAAATAGACAAAGTTTGCCGATCTTCAGATCTAAAGCGGCTCAATTCTGAGAGTTTTCGTAAATAAAATAGTTATAGGTTTCGATGAGATGAAACTATTTACGAAGTTTCAGGCGGATGTTAATAATTCGATAAAAAGGGGCCTGTACCACGGTCTATGCTGCTATATTCATACTATCTTATTTTTCAATCTTTACTCTTCGACAGATTTTTTTCAGCTTAGTAGGGCCAGAAGATTTCTTCAATTTGTCCAATCTTGGCTGAAGTTCCCTTAGATTCAATACTGACTATTCAATACATACACTTACGATATACCTGACAACAATGAGATATTGACTTACACTTATGCTGACGACACCACAATTCTCACAAATCATCAAGATCATATACTAACTAATCTTACAACACTAACTACTTAAATTACAAGACTGATTTCAACTATGGACAATTCGACTAAATCATGATAAATTTAAACATATAACATTTACTCTTCTAAAAAATACCTGCCCTTCAGATTATATTAATAGCAACCAAAAATCCTCAAACAGACAAGGAACTTTTTCTTGGACTAACTTTCTGCAGAAGGATGACATAGGGCCACGATATAAGAATGAAACGGAAGATCCTAAACTGACGACTCAAACTACTTTACCCACTTTTTTCGAAATCATCATATCTCAAACAAAGACAGAAACTGAATGCATATACATTCTTGCTTAAACCCATATTGATGTATTCACCAGAAATATTGGGTATCGCCAAAGAGACTTATCAACAAAAACATTAAATTTTCCAATCTAAATTATTACGATTCATAATAAAAGCACCTTGGATTCGAGACTAACAAAGTGCTATATACTGATGTGCAACTACTATATAACTACTAACGGATCCAGGATTTAATTTGGGGGCTTCAGCCCGAAAGATTTTTTTTCTTATGCATATATTAGGTAATTACTTCGGAAAAAAGAAACTAACTACCTATATGAAAAGGCGTTTAAGTGATTCTTTAAGACATATTAAATGTTATTAGACGAACAATAACACTTTTAGAGATAATTCTTTTCATAAAACATGGTTATATTTTATCATTGAGTTTAAGCCCGAAAGCCCCCTCCGCATATGCACGTAACTATTTCCTGAATTTGTCATTCCATTTCCTCATTGTCAACATAGTTTTATATATCCTATATATTATTTCTAAAAAGTGTTTTTTTGTCGGTACGCCATAACTTCTTCAATTCTTCATCAAATCCAATGATTGACCACTCATTTTGAAGATATTCTTCTCTTTTACATGCGAAAAATAGTCCTATCTCCTAGAAATTTCTGGGAAAAAAGTTATGAAGGAAAAGAAACTTTATTTGCGAATAACTTAAAAAGTATGCATTTTTTCCTGAATTGAACCCATTATCATTAGAAATATTACTAAATTACCTACAAAACAAAACAAAAAAAAAATCGTAATAATTATTATAATATAATTAAATTATCAACCAAGATGCAGTCCATTAGTTTTGATATACTTACACTACTACATTTTTTCCTAGCTTATATATTAACTTTATTATTTCTTAAAGGTATTTATTTATTCTTATATTTTATTTATTTTTTTAATAATTTAGAAAATCTCATGATCGGGGTATTATTTTGTTTTTATTACTTTTATGATCTTTACAATCATCGTTTAAAAATAGGTTCTAGCAAAGCAATTCGTACAAATATTTTGGTCTATTATGTTAAATGGAATATTGTCATCAACCAAGGAAAAAATATTAATTCCATTCTTACTTAATGCATAGGAAGTACTTATTTCCATATTTTTTTGCTATTTCTTCACTAAACAAAATTTTCTGCGAATTATCCGTACGGGCCAGCTAGTTTTTATAATTAATTATTACTGCCAAATATTTTGTTCTTCCAGTCCTTGTTTCGGGAAGCAGTGCCCATCCCATCGCTGTATTCCAGGCCCGTATAAGATTTCCATTTCCTGACCAGTGAGCACAACGAAATCCGTAAAATCTTTAAGCGAACGAGCAGGGGCACATTATGAGGCCTCCGAACGAGATAGCCTACGCGATTCGGAGGAAATTGAAGTGCTCCCTTGGAATTGGTTTCAAATTGACTTTATGCCGTATTTCCGGAAATTTCGCCCTCTAGGAGTGAATTTTTCGATTAGAAAGAATTTAGGCCTCCTGGAAATTAAGATCTCTTGGCGCTATTTACTGATTTCAGCAATCCCCTTAATGTGTCAACAGTTAAGAGTGGTTTTCAATATTAATAAAATTGTCATCAATTTTGAATTTAGGTTAATTGTTTTTAATGATAGAATATTTGTAATTTGTTACCAAAGTCATAGGCCAACCTATCATCGGAACTCGACATAACCATGCATACACATCTGGGGAACATATCTAGGAAGGTGTGAATAGGGTGTTAAGTGTGAGTATAATCAGAAAGCTAATTTTTCCATCTTCCTTTGTGTCTAATGGACTAAGTTATGCAGCAATTACAGAAATGAATATTCCTTTGTTTTCGTGAGTTGCAACTCGAAAATTCAATTCGCACTTGTGAAAATGCTAAACTTTCAATTACGTTTTTTTCCGAAAATATGAATTTTGCACTTAATCCAATGTTCACAGGTACTACATACGAATATTAATATCAAATAATATTCCAATTTTTTTTTTTTTTAATGATTATTTACAAAATGAGAATCGCACCTAAAATGTTCCTACAAATGTGGTGTTTAATTTTTTTTTGACAATCAAATGATTGCATTAATATTCAATCAATCAATCAATCTTTATTTGTTTTAAGGGAATAGCCCTATATAAATGGAGTCTATCACAAAATAACAAATGTGGTGTAGTTTCATTTGTATATATGTTGTTTCCTTAATTACATGATAGTTTTACTGGAAAAACATTACATATGTGTTCTTTCTTTTTAAACCGAACACAAAAAATATCAGTTTTTAAAAATTAAATTCCATAGGTTTTTTTTTTTTAGGCAAACATCAATCCGTCTCAGAAACCAAACGGGAAAATACTCCACTTCCAGTTTTTCAGGAATACTAATTATCATTTCTGCTTGGAAATAATAAAACTCTGTGTATGAATTTGCAGTGTTTTCAATTAACATTTTAAAAATCGAAAGGATTGTTTGTTTTTTTTACGCTATCTTAACTTGTCAATAACGCATTATCCATTATTATTTTTAGTTGTGAATATATACTTATGCAAGATTTTTTTTTTTACATATAAAATTAAAAATTGTAAATTAAGTTTATACACTATCTCTAGAGAATGGAACATTTTCGCTTCGTGAAGCCTTAATCCGAAAAAAAATCTTTTTTTTTATTTGAAGATTTAAACAATAAAATGATAAATAAAGTAAACATTTTAACTGAAAAAATATTTTATAATAACTAAGATAAAATGTTGATACCTTAACCCATGGTATGAATAAATTCTCATTGTTTTGTATTTCATTTTTTATAATTCTCATGATAAAAAGTACCAATTATCAAAGATGACTGGCGGTCGAAATCGTAGTCTATCTTGACTTTACGAACGTTGTTACTTCGAGGAAAAAGAAGAAGATAAAATATTTTATCAAACAAAAGTATAATTACAAAAAAATTCATGAATAGACAATTTCAGTATTCTCGTCGTATACTACACCCTTTTCCCAGCATGTGGATGAATAATTTAAAAAGCGAACTTTCGATTAATGTTAATTTCCATGTGGTCGGAAAGGACCGGAAGCAGCATGCTGCCCTACCGTTACACCCCGGGGCATACACCTCAACTTCCGCTTCAGTTTGACGAACGGCACACGCACGTTTGTCATTGAGTGCACCTCATCTGGGTCAGTCTGCACCTGTCGTCCTCACTCACCATTTCATTATATATTTTTATTTTTTTACATTTTTACAATTTACTTCTTGCTGTATCTGTCTATTGATTACTAGGCCATAGAGCATAATATAATAGCATTATTAAAAAAATGTATTCCCATTCCAAATGTACATCCATTAGTCCGTGGTACAGACCCCTTCTTATCAAATAATTAACATCCGCCTAAAATATTGTGGATGGCTTCGTCTTATCGTAATCTACAAATTTTTGGTAGTTTTCTCATTGAAGTAATTAATTTGATGAGGTACTAATAACTCATAAATACCCATTTACTTTCAACTTGAATCGTAAAATAATTTGATCACAAAATCGATAAAAAAAAATCTGGTGTGTCTACTCACACGACTTTCCTACCTATTTCAGAAAAGTTTTTATATCTTTAAATATGTTCACGAAGAAACCAAAAAAAAAAAATTAATTCGATTTATTTTTCAGAAAATTGATCAAAGAAAAGATTTGAGTTCGATTTATTTGATAAAGTAAAGCACTGTAAACCGGCTTAAGGTAGATCAGTGTAAAAAATTCAATACTCTCTAATATTGCTGATCAAAAACTTTTTGCCATAGCTTAATTTTGTCAAACAATAATTTCTGTTAAAGGTAGAGGAAATAGTGAAGCTTTTGTGATGCGGACAACAGATTTTCTTACTCTCACTTAGTCGTCTTTTTTCTCTCATTTACTCCTTTCTGACACCACGATATGAATCCGTAATCTTACATTGGAAATTGAATAGCTGTAACTTCGTTAATAGTTGTCCAAAATGAACGGGTTTTATATAGTTTTGTAGGGAATTTCATTAAATTTCAAAAAATAGGTTAAACGTAGATGTCCCTAATTTCTGCCACAGGCATCAATAGTCAAAATCCTACAAAATAAAAAAAGAAGCAACAAAATCGGTTCAGTAGTTCCCGAGAAAATCTTGGCACAGACGGACAGACAGATAATGTGTTTTTCGGACTCTAAAACGTATAGATCCGTCGATAACCGCATATCAGAAATTTGACCCGATCGCAATACTTTCCTTACCTAGGATAGGTAGGAAAGCAAAAAGGTAGCTTAAAAAAATATTGAGCCATTCGGCCTATATAACCTCCTTATTTTGATATATTGGGGGTGGAGGTCACGCCAACGGCCTTTCGTTCGTCTTTTAATAAAAATGCATTGCGGTATTTAAAATGCATAGTTTCTTATTTCATATTCTCTCATGACGAAAAGAGAAAAAGTCTTCTAATGAATAAGAGATGATCAATGTGATGATTACACGAGTGTTTGCTTTCTGAAGGAGATCGCTGAGTGATTTCACCACAACAGAGCTTCTTCCTTTCTGTATGCCAATGGGTTATGGGGCTAAGAGGCTTCTCGCTTCGTCAAAATACCTTTAAGGGCCTTCAAGTGTTCTTTTGAAGTGTCCCTTTTGTCCCTAGGCTACGTACACTGTGTGAGTTACGCTCATTCATAGAGTAATTACGACAGCAGAACTTCTAGAGAGGGTTAAGGAAATGTACATACAATATGCGTTCTATTCTTTTGTATTTTGCGTAAAATAATCTTTTCTCTTTTATAAATCCATAATAATAATAAGGCATGTGGAATTATTTTCAGTTTGTTTGTTTTGGCTTGGCAGTAAAAGCCTCAGGTCGTCAACGCCTATGTTTTGTTTAAATTATTAATAGTCCGTGGTACAGACTCCTTTTAATCAAATTATTAACATCCGCCTGAAACTCCGTAAATAGCCCCATCTTATGGTAACCTACAACTATTTTTTTTACGAAAACTCACGAAATTGAGGCTTTCGAACTGGATATCGACATATTTAATGGATAACTTTGTCTATTTAATTAGGTACTGATAACTCATAAATAACCATTTGCTGTCTGCTTCAATCGTAAGATAGTTTGAGCACAAAATAGAGACAAAAGGTGACCTTCAAAAATATCGAGCTGTTTGGCGTGACCTACATCACTAAAATATCAAAATAACGAGGTTACATAGGCCAAACGACCCAATATTTTTGTATGACAAACTATTTATTTATTTATTTTTTGATCAAACTATCTTACGATCCAAGTGGAAAGCAAATGGGTATTTACGAGTTTTTAGTATCTCATTAAATAGGCAAAGTTACGATCTCCAGACCTAAGGCGCCTCAATTCCGAGAGTGTTCGTAAATAAAGTAGTTGCAGGCTACGATGAGATGGAGCTATTTATGAAGTTTCAGGCGGATGTTAATAATTCGATTAAAAGGGGTCTGTACCACGGACTATAAAGTTAGAAAACTATATATATATATATATATATATATATATATATATATATATATATATATATATATATATATATATATATATAATATAATATATTACACTGGATATTTATTGAATATTTCTAGAGATATAATTATTGATTGTAAGATGAAATTAATCTGGATATTATATATGCTTAAGAGTTTAGAAATAATTCTAAGAAGGTGATATAATTTTAATAAGAGATAATTTAAAAAAAGTAAATAAAAATCGTAATCAGACCGATTTTATTGATTTTTGGGTATAGCATTTCTTAAAAATATGTTTGATAGAAAGGATGGGAGTACCAAATTTTCCTCAGCATTATTGATTCTTCGTTGATTGAATTTTGTAAATGTGATATTGTTAATGCTTTTGTGTTTATATTATTTCTTACAATAAAAGATCCATATAATTTTGAGTATTTCAGATGTATATTTTGTCTATTACTTCTATACTATTAAGATATTTTAATTTTTTTTATATTATACTGTTCTTCGAATATTTGTTTTAGTGCCTTTTTCTGGATTTTTATACGAAGAAATTCCTCCTTTACAATAAAAATTCTAAAATAATTAAACAGTTAAACTTTCAGTCATCACAAAAAATTAGGGAAATTATATAATCGTGGATTAATGGTTGACTGATGTGAATAATTGCAGAGAAAATTTGTTGGGATGATCAGTAAGAAAGTATTGTGAAAATTTTCGATCGGTAAATTCTCAGTTTTCAACGGAAATACATGTTTTTGAAGTCCCTGAGTATAAATATCCAAGTCCCGCAAAATGGTATGTATGTATGCGTGTGTCTGTGAGTGTGTGTGTTTGAACAGCCTAGCTTTAAAACAAAAAGTCTTATGAAACTTAAATTGCGTATTTAAGGTTTGTATATGGTTCCGATGTGACAATAACTTTTTTGTTAAAATCGGCTTACCGAAAGAGCCACTTTATATCAACGGTGGTTCACATTTTCACGATTTTCTCGAAAACGGCTCTAACGGTTTTGATCACTGTATTATTAAGTTGTTTTTAATATCAGCTAGGTCTTATCCAGATTGATGTCACTTTACAGGGCTTAAATGCCCAATATTTATATACGTCTTCCTCTTAAGTACCTTTAATTGTATTTATTTTTAAAAAATAACTCTCTCTTATTTTCATTAACTATAAAAAATGGCTAAATATAACTTTGAAAGAATTTGATAATAATGAATCTCCGGAAATAATAGTCAGAATGTACACGTATAATATATCGTTGGAAAGCAGAGAATTTTGGAAAAAATAATATTTAATAAATTAAGTTGTATAAGGTAACGGAGTGGTATTTAAAATAAAAATAAATATACTTATTTATTTTTACAATTTCTTTTTCTGATCATCCCAACCAATCTTCTCTTCAAAATACATAATCATTCGTTTGTAAGCTATTTGATAATTGGATTTAACAAGGTTAAGTTCCTGTATTGACTATGGTACCATTATAATTTAAAATATATTTCAACGAGTGATGGCTTGTATAACATTTTCATTTTTAAATTTATTATAATCACGCCTTATATGATCGATTTAGTCTAAGAATTTACCGATATCACATTATTAGACAATTCATGTTTCTCTTATCGTCGTAACAGAAGCTTTAGTCTTATTTTCTTGTTCTTGGTATTAATGAACTGGTTACTTTTAGACAAATGAGACATTGGGAGGACGGAACTGTTAAATTATGTTTTGAGCGTGAAAATGTCTTTGGGAAAGCCGCAGTGTGGTATGAATTATTCAGGTCGCTGGATTGCTGCCTAATTTTCAAAAATTCAACATCAAAAACTGCCACTTCTTAAACTGCAGATTGTGATCCTGCATGCTTTATTTCATACCTGTGTTTAGGAAAATATTAACATCCAACTACCTTAATATGATCATTTATGTGTACTCATACAAGTGATGTCAATATGGCAAAAAAAAAAAATAATAAATAAAAAAAAAGTTTTTTTATACAAAAGTCCTTATAATTTACGAAATATTGATTAAATTAGTTTTATTGCATTATTATGATAATGTTCTTATCTATTTGTTAAATGGAAAAATAAAAACTATAGAAATCTACATATAAAATATTACAAATATTAACTATTACCATATTCTTCCCCTTTGAAATTTTATTTTATTTTACAAATTCATTGTATTTGATTGGCGACATAATATAGAATTGTAGGAGGTGGTATACAGAGTCAAGTACACGAAGGGCAAAAAGGGAGAATTAAGTGAGATATTGATTTACTCTGTTTGAGCAGGCAGGTTATTTTAATTTCTTGTTTGATTTTTGGTCAAATATGTTACGATTTTTATTTTTTTTGTTACAGTAAATTGGATTTTTTGTGTCCATTTCTTGAATCCGAATAGTGTACTCTAATTTTCAATTATTTCATGAATAAAAGGATAAATAAGCAGAATAACTATTTAACAAATAATAAATTATTTGAAAAACAAAAACTGTAAATGAAATACGGTAATTCGTTTAATACCGCAGTGTAGCATACATTGTCAATTTTAATTAATTTTGATAATGATATAAAAATTTAATTTTTATAATTCCTAATGACGACATTTCAATTAAGCTTTTCACTTCAATAACAATTCCAAAACAAGATTTATTT